CAGTGATGCAGATGTCACCCCCATAATCCAATCACCTTCCAAAAGCCCTAAATCTGACCAGATGAAACTTTGGGAGGACACTTTACATCCAAATCATAGCACCATCTCCCCAGTTAAGTGAGTTATTCTTCCCACAAGGTGGAAGGTAGCCAGAGGCAAACTTTGTTCCCCAGGCTCGCTGTAGAAAGCAACAGCACTAGGAATGTATTTTACTGTATGGCTGTGCAGGAACACAGAAAAAAACAGAGGAATGATTCACATTGAAAAGGCAGAAGTCCTGTCTTTGCTGAATATAATTTCTCTATGTCTTTTTATCTTAATATCTGGTAAGATCTGCATGGTTTGGGCAGAAAAAGATCTAATCCAATCTCTTCCAAGATAAGCAAACAGAAACCACATAGACTTATTTGCCTACAGTCACACAAATAATTTATTTGTGTATACACATAATCATTAATATTCATACAGTGGCCCAAGAGAGATTTTGAAAACAAATGAATTTAAATGTTAAAATGGCAAAATCCCCCTGAATAAAGAAAAAGACCTCTATCAAACTGCTCCACTAAATTAAAAAATTCACTCCAATAGGTCTGCTTTCCTTTTGCAAGGGGCCAGAAAACAAGAAAGCTGTCACATGCTGCACCCAGCATTGAAATGTCAGAGAGCTGCTGACTCCCGTAATTCATCACTGAATTGAAAGCATTACATATGGGAAGAGCAAAAATGTAATTCCAGCTCATTTCAATAAGAATTGATCTAAGGGTTCATTACATAAAGTAATTTTTACTAACATAGCTTTGAATGTGTCCTCCAATGAGGGTTAGAATTTCTCCTGTGATAGCCAAGGTTGATAAGGAAGAATTTGCATACATATACTACAATACCAAGGGTTTTTTTAATGTTTGCTTACTGTTGTGGAGGAAGGCTACAGCATGCTGAGAAACTTAGCAGGAAGTTAGGAGTTATTTTAAAAGGAATCTAGGGATTCAAATCATTTGCATCCTTGAGTCGTGTGACCTTCACACTTCCATTTCTTTATAATACCTGAGTTTCGTATGATAGTTTCACAAGAAAATAGGTGTAAAACACTTCACAGTTCAAGGTCTTAATGAACAGTAGTCTTCTTATAGCTCACCACACTTAGGTTACTTGCTTGTGATAGTAAGATATTAATACCTCCCTTTCAAGGACATCATAAAGATTAAAAGAGGAAACAGATGTGTGTGAAACGCAGTGACTGCTGTTCCCAGTCCACACCCTCTGGGTAGCTGGTGTGAAATCCTTTTTAAGACCTAGAGCCCCTGCTGAGGTCTCTCTGACCCTAGTGGTGGGCTCAAACGAGTGATCTTCCATCAGGAGCTTAACTTCTGCCAAGTTCAAGTATAGGACTAAGAAGATCTTCAAGCACTGGAAATATGTCCTTTCTCTTTCTTACTAAACAGACTTTTCTGGATCCAGAGGAGACATCTCTGGTGAAATTCAGATATTCTCAGCTTTGATCACAGTGACTATCAGCAGTAAGAGTAGGCTGGAAACACCTCAGTGCCCTGGAGATACCCAAAACGCCTACGAAGAATCTCTGGGCATGGGCCCCGGATGTCAGTATTTGTAAAAACTCTGAGATACAACAACAAAACAATTAAACAATGGAATTATAAACTTGGCAAAAGACTTAAATAGACCTTTCTCCAATAATGATACACAAACAGCCAAGTAAATAGCATCCTGACACCCCTCATGATGGCTATAGTAAAACTAAATAAAAATTCTTTTAAAAACAGAAAGTAACAAGTGTTGGCAAGAATGACAAGTGGGAATTTGCACTCATTGATAGGAGCATAAAATGGGATGACCACTGTGAAAAGAATCATAGCAGTCTTTCAAAATAAAATAAGAATTGAAATTATTACATGATCCACCTATCCCATTTCTAGGATATGCCCAAAAGAATAGAAACTGGGCCTAAACAATAGTTGCATGCCTACATTCTTAAGGACATTATGCAGAATAGCCACCAGGTAAAATCCACCCCAATGTCCAACAAAGGATAATGGACAAACAGAATGTGTTATACTGTTCAACTCTGAGAAGGAAATTCTGAGTCATACTTTATGGAGGAATCTTAAGCTAAGTGAAATAAACTGGTGTATAAATTGGCCAGATAAATACTGAAACTCCTTGTTTAGGAGTTTCCTGAAGTAGTCAAATTTGTAGAGAAAGAAGAGAGAATGGTGGTGTCTAGGGGTGGGGGGGGAAAGAACAGGGAGAGTTGTTTCAGTAGTATAGAATTTTGTATCTGCAAGGTGAACCTTTTTCAGAGTAACATGAATATGTGCATCAGTCCGTTTTTCACCACTACGGCCAAGTACCCAAGAAGAGTGACTTAGAGGAAAGGGTTCTTTGACTTGTGGTTTGAGACATTTCCATCCACTGTTAGCCCGCCCCATTGTTTTCAATCCGAGGCAAATCCAAAACATAATGGGATGCTGGGGCAGAAGAAAGATACCTCAAGACAGCTGGGAAGCAGAGATGGAGAGACAGAGCTAGGCAGGAAGGGGCCAGCAGCAAGATGCAATTCTCAGGTCGTGCTCCTGAGACCCACTTCCATGGCTGGGACTCCACCTCCTAAGCCTTCATAGTCTTCTCATGAGTCCATCAAATTATAGACCTACTACTGGATCAATCCACTGATCAAGTTAGAGCCCTCAAGATCAAATCACCCCAAAAGCCCCACCTCTAATCACATAAGATTTGGGGAGGACATTCTGGACTCAAGCCATAACAATATATTCTACACCGCTGAAGTGGACATTTAAAAGAGATAAAATAATAAACTATGTTAGATGGTTTTCACCACAATAAAAAAAAATGTTTTTCTTAAAAGCTCCCAGCTAAGTCATTCCAATGAGTAGTCAAGGCTGGGAACCCCTGGTGCTAAAGAGCTGACGGAAAGAGGCCAGAGGATAAGGAGTTCTGCAGGCACGTTTCCTCTATACTTAAGCCTGCTGGCAACAGCTTCAGGAGTGACAGCAACAAGAGCTAATGGGCCAAAGGGCTTTCTTTTTCTTTTTGTAAACTTTCCATTAGCCAGATAACAGGAAGCACTGGAGAATGGACCTTCTAGTCAGCAGAGAGCGGTCAGAACATAAAAAGACTGATTTTGTTTCCTGTCTCTCATGGTTTAGATCTAAACTGCCCCCCTCAGTCTCAGGTGTTTGGAAGGCACCTGGATCTTGGGGGCCTCGTATGCATCATGGATTCATCCACTGATGAGGCCACAACTGTGCCATAAAGAGGCGGGACTGCGGTAGGGGCGGGGCCTGGGGCAGGACCTCGTGTTACTGTGCTGGCTCCTCCTTTCTCTATCTCTCTACTTCTGGGCTGCCTTGGGGTGAGCAGCCATCCCCTCACAGGTTCTCAGCATGCCCTTTCTTCCCTGGAGTCAGCCAACTTTAGACTGATCCCGCTGAAACTGTGAGTGAAATAAACCTTGCTTCCTGTAAGTTGCAGGTGTCCACAGAACAGAGCAACTGAAAGAGTCAGTGAGCTCCACCTTGAGTGCCGATGCCTCAGCTTTGAATTCAAGACTCTGCACTGCAGATGGTAATTTGTAATAGTGGTTTCATGCTTGGAGTGCCTGTCATTGTGGTATTCTGGATATGGGCGGCTTGTCATGACATGCCACTTACTGCTAAGATGTCTCTCGGGTAGATGGATGTTCAAGAAGAAGGCGGTGGTGAAGGAAAGCAAGAGACAGGAAAAGGAATATTGTGGGACTGTCCTGCTTCAAGGTTGTATACGGTGAGATTTTTGGACTTATGTGCAAACATGAGAAGCATAGAATTCTTTATCCTATTTTTAAAATATAATCTAATTTTTTAATTTTTTATCATATTATGTAGGGACTTAAAGTTCAACATATCAATACTTGATGAAAAATATCTGTTCCTTACTATGCCTAAGATGTTTGAAATGCAGTGAGATAGTGAGGTTAAGCTTGATAGCCTAAATCGTTTGATAATAACAATAAGCTTGTCTTCTGGATGGTTAACAACCTAAGTTTGCAGACCAAAATTAGAGAAAAAGGAGGGCTACAAGGAAAGCCAACATTTTGGCACTAACCTTCTAAGGTCAATTAAGACTCAGGACATATGAGAACTTGTACTGTAATGTCATGTACCTCGGTAGTGTCCCAAATTTTCTGATCAAGAAGATTATGGGGCCAAAGAGGTAAGTGATCGATGATGTAGAGTGTGCCTAAGGAGAGTCACATGGGGAGAAGACACTCTCTCAGGCTTTCACAGAGAGCACATTGGCCAAGCAATGGCCGTGACTCATCCACATGGCTGCACTGATGAAGGTTGTACAATCTGAGGTACAGGATCTCAGGACAAATCCTGAGGGCATTTCACTGACCTTCTCAGACCAAAAAGCTACAACTCTTGTTGCACAGGTCCTGCTTTACCTTGGTCTTAATCATCCAGTAGAAAAGTATGAAGATGAAATATAGGAAGTAAAGCCATGTTGTTATGTTGAACTGTGGGGGACTCAGGTCAATAATTTCTGACATTACCAGTTAAACAGAAGACCCAATGCTATTATGGGCTACTGGACTCTTTTAGAATATTTTGCTGAGTTTACACACCTATAATATTCAATAACGGAACTTAGAAAAAATGGGGTATACCAATGAATGTCCATTTTGTATCTGTGTATTCAAAGTGGTTAGGATAGATATATAGTTGCATTCACCTAATGAATAGAATGATTTGTTCTAATGGTGTTTGTAAATAGGATCTCAAGTCCGCATCTTGTACAGCAATTAACCACTTAGAAGAATATATGCAGTGTATTATTTGTTGAAAGTGTACTTCCGATTTGATTTGAAACTGTCTCATTGCTATCTGTTTATCAATAAAATTTTGAGAAAAAAAAAAAAGACTCTGCACAAGAAGGTTGACAATAGAACTACAGTTGTTTGGGGAGACTGCAGCCCGGGCATGGAGCTGCCGGATCCATTACGTCAGCGGCTGGGAAACTTCAGCAGAACTGTGTTCCGCGACTCCAGCCGGAGTACAGTGAGGGTTCGGATAATGAAATGAGCTCCAATTTGGCCCTACAGATGTCACTTTATTTTAACACTTACTTTTTCCCACTTTGGTGGGTGGCCGCCATTATGATGCTTCATATGAAGTATTCATTCTTGCCTGATTACTATAAATTCATTGTGATCACTATTATCGTCCTTATAACCCTAATTGAAGCTATCCGATTGTACCTGGGCTACATGGGTAACCTGCAGGAGAAGGTACCTGAACTGGCAGGCTTTTGGCTCTTGAGCCTTCTGCTGCAGTTGCCTTTAATTCTTTTCTTGCTGTTGAATGAAAGCCTAACGAACCTGCCCTTGGAAAAAGCAATGCATATCATCTTCACTATCTTCCTTACTTTCCAAGTTATTTCAGCGTTTCATACCTTGAAGAAAATGGTCAATCAGTTGGCAGCTCGTTTCCACCTCCAAGACTTTGACTGGCTCTCTGCAAACAGAGGAGATGCGAGAAGAATGATGTCATGTATAGAAGAGATTTAATCCAGCGCTGTTGAGAGAAAATCTCAAAGATTTTAGAAGACTGTAAAAGTTGGGAAACATCGGAGATCTAGCATGAGAAAAAGGATAAAGCTAGTGTTTTGAACTGTATTCCCTGTAGCTCTGAAATTCCCAGATGAGGGCAATGCTAAAGCTTCCTGTACTACATAAAAGCAGTATACTAACCCTAAAACCTATGTGATGTCCACCTGAAGCTAAATTTGTTTTGTATGTAGAGTTTTCCAGGTATGTAGATATCTGTTAGTTGTGTTTTTACCAGTTTTACTGTAATATTTCTAGTTAAAAACTATAATTAGAAATGTATGTCCTTTTGAATTTGTTATTCTGGCTGTATATCTGACCAGGCTTCTTTGAGTACATAGAAATGTTAGTCAGGGAGACTTCAGCGCAGTCATAGAGCATGCACAAGGCCCTGAATTCAATCCTCAGTGCTGCTAAAAAAAAAAAAAAAAAACAGAAATGCTAGTCAACATTTTGGTATATTAGACTATATTTATAACTAAAAAATCAAATTTTCAAGTGTTAGCGCTAAATTCTAACCCTAGTATTTGTTAGCTATTATATTGAAGTAAAGAAGACAGGCATTTTATTGTTGTTGTTTTGGGGGGTGGTATTTTTGAGACAGGGTCTCACAGTGTAGTCCAGGCTGGACTTGGACTCACTGTGGAGCCCAGACTGGCCTTGAGCTCACAGTGATCCTTCTCCCTGAGCCTCCCAAGAGTTGGTAAGACAGGCATGGGACCCTACACCCAGCCTTGATAGATGGATTGTCATACTATTTAGGGAATAATTTTATCATAAAAATTGTAACTTTTGTAAAACCATGTTCAGTATTTGTTGTGATGATGTGCAAAATGCTTTTATAATAAACTGTGTTAAAAAAGTATCAGCAACAGATTAAAAAAAAAAAAGAAGGTTGACAAGATAGCTCAGCGGACTAAGCGCCTGCCTGGTCAGCACAGAGCCTGGGGTTTGATCCCCGGCAAGCAGTGTCATGCTGGCCCCACCCCTGGGCGTGCTGAGCTGGCCACCGAGACCACGCATAGTGATGCACACCTGTAATCCCAGTGCTGGAGAGGCTGAAAACAGGAGGATCACTGAGAGTCTGAGCTGCACATGTCTTGAGCTGTAGCAAGACCAAGACTCTGCACATGAGAACACACAGAAGGGAGAGGGGAGATGCATCCAGAGCCTTGGGAACCAACTGTGCTCTGTGATCCTGGATCCTGCGGTGAGACTACGGGGGTGGGGGAGGCATGTAGGGAAGGTTCAGAGCCTTTGAGCTCTGTCTCGGGTTTGAGAGGATGGGAAGCCTCTGGATGTTTTCAGTAGATGAGTAATCCAGACAGGCTGACATTTCTGGGAAAATCACCCTCACTGCAAAGCAATGAATGGTCCAGATGAGGTGTGTGTGACCAGAGACAGGAAGATAAGTTAGTAGGAGACAGGTGGGCCCCAGGTCAGACAGATTTAAGACCTGGTTCTAGGTCAGGGGTTCTAGGCTGAGGTTTAATTCTGGCTGCACAATAAAATCCCATGTAGACACTGGGCTGTACCATGCGCCCTTTCATAGAGTCAATCTCTGTAAAATAAGGCTCAGGTAGGGTAAAATTGGGGCAAAAATCAACCTTTGCTGCTCAAAAACTTTGAGCCCCAGAGGAGCAGCATCGGGAACCTAGCTGGAGCACAGAGCTCCACCCGACACCTGCAGCAGCCGCAACTTGTGCTCTTGTGTGATGGCTCGGCAATGCCTTTGCACTGGAAAGCTCGCGAAGCACAAATATAAACTGTGTATGGCCTGAGATGGGACTGTAGGAACAGCTGGGATCATGGGGAGGTGGACTCCAGAGATCCCAGTAGTGGCCTCCGGTGAGGACAGCGATCCATTCATAAATGCAGATTATACTGACCTGCACTGTGCCAGGTGCTAAAGAAAGATGAGTGGGCACCAGGCCACAAGGCAGAAGAAGCAGGACAGCAATGAGAGGACTGGAGCTCTAGGGATGCAGGTGAGCAGCAGCTGACCAGCAGCACCAGCGGGAACTTCCCGAGGATGAGAGCATCTCCCCAGCACATGGGTATGGGCACCTGCTGGGCTCTCCACAGGTGTTCATGGAAGGAGGGTAGAAGTGCTGGCATTGCAGCGGGGCCTCTCCAGGTAGAAAGGACCCCTGTGGGCAGAAAGGAGCAAGGGCTTTGCAAGTGGGAGGACTCTAGCACCACTCCAGGCCACACACTGTGCAAGGCACCCACAGCCTGCAGGGCCAGTTGGCTGGAAGTGGAATAAAGCTTGGCACATGGGTCTTCTCAGGGGCCAGAGAGTGAACAGTTCACACTCAGCCCTACTCTGCAGTGAGAGCAGACTCTGACCATTAGCAACAAATGGGCAAGAATAGGTACAAATCCAACCTCAAAAAAAGAAAACAAAAAGCTGAGACCAGCCTGAGCTTGCACACCCCTGCTCCAAAGGGGGAGACAAACAGTGCTGGAGCTAGAGCTGGAGCTAGATTGCCAAGAGCAGCTGCCAGCTCAAGGGCAGCCTCGGTTCCCGGGCAGAGGAAGGAAGACCTTGGTCCTATAGTGCAGCACTGGATTTGGGGCAGCAGAGTGAAATGGCCAGGGATGAGCTTGGAAGGAACCATGAAGCAGACCTGGAAGAGATCAGACCAGGAGCTGGGAGATCGAGGCAAGGACCAGGGAGGCGGTGCAGTGATGGCTCCCAAAGAGTGGACCAAGGAGACAGGAAAATGACAATGAACTGCAAGGTTGGGCTGTGGAAGAAGCTTCGGTGGCCAGGGAGCAGAGGGTGAAGGACAATCAAGCCTGGCTTGGCCTTTGCAGGTGACAGGGCAGATGCTGCAGCCAAAACCTTTCAGAGCTGGGCACTTAGGGGAGCATGTGGAGCCCAGGGGAGGGCAGGGCAGGCATCACCCCAGCACACACGAGTGTGAAGACAGTAAGAGCTGAAGTGCAGGCGGGCTGCACAGCTGGCCATCTCCAAAAACATGACTTGGAGATCCAGAATGACCATGCCCGGGGCGATCCCAGGTCTTTTGGGGTAGAAGGAGCCTCAGAACAGAGCTTCGGGAGGCTGTGGGGAGGGGCTTGCCTTCCTGAGGAGCGCCTGGTGGTGGCTAGATCCCTAGCCCATCAAGGACACCAAGTGAGACCCACTTCTTCTGTGGCCCCCCAGATGAGGACAGACAGTAAGGCCCGTTAAGTCACCACCCCTGAGCACCCCCAATCCAAAAACCCAAAATCCAAAATGGTCCAAAATCAGAAGCTTAAATGCAGATCTCACTCCTGACCTCGAGTGACCTGTCACAGCCAAAACGCAGGTGCTCTAAGGAATACCGCACGCAGTCACCGTCAGGCCAGGTGTAGAGAGGATACAGGAAACAAAGGTGAATTTCATATTAGGACCTAGGTCCCATCCCCAAGATAGATTACCATGTATGTGCAAATAGTCCAAAATCAATCCGGAAAAATCCAAAATCCGGAACACTTCTGGTCCCAAATATTTTCAATAAGAGATGATTAAAAATGTAACTGTTGAGTGTCTAATACGTACCAGGCCCTGGAGATACTGAGAAAACTGTAACAGTGACTAACATCCAAGTACCAGGACTAGATTAAGCAAGTCCATCTGAGACTCTCTCCCTCGCTGTGGCTCCTGAGACAGGTGGCACTGGTGTCCCGTTCTCCATCAGCTGCAGCAACCCGCGCACAAGCCGGCCTCCGTGGGGGCCAAAGTACGGCCTCTGCATCCAGAGGGAAAGCAACCCGCCTTCCACGGCAAGAGCAGGAGTTCCCTTCTGATGCCTGCCCCCGATCTGGGCCACGTCTCCAGGAAAATTCAAAACCAAGGCCAGTCCTTCAACTGCGCCATCAGATTCACGGTGTGATGAGCCTCGGAAGCTCATCACGAGTCAGCCTGCAGGGGGAATACCCAAGGACCACGGACTCCAAGTTGATGGGACAATTCTTTCTTTCACTTTGCTTCGGAGGTACCAAGGCAGCCTTTAAAGGAGGTGCCTCCATGATGCGCTGTGATGCGAATAAATGCCCCCGAATAAAAGGGAAATAATTTGGTGAGCAATGTTGTAGCCGCAGCTAATTTTATAGGCATCTTTTCCCTTTCTCCGGGTCAGGGTCCTGGGCCGTCTGCCCGCGGCGCGTTGCGACACTGCCACCTAGTGGTAACGCTGAACGCTGCTGCGGAAGTCGACGCGTCTACACCCCCAAACCGCAGAGAGACTGCGTCCTGTTAACACCAGTCTGGGCGGTGGCTGTTTTTAGCTGGGTCTCTCCTTCTGTGCCACTTTCATCATGGAAACTGGCTCTCTAGACCCAAAAAAAGCTGCGACGTGCTCTGCAAAAGCTGTTGAGGTCCAATTTTAGCTACATGTCTTGGAATTCGGGCTCCTGGGAGGAGAAAGATGTGCGGTTCCCAGGAAGTTAGGCCCCTTCCTGGAGGCTGCCAAGGCCACGTAGCAGGTGAGAGTGTCGATCCTTTCGGGTTTCAGCAGCTGCAGTGCAGCCTGCAAAGGGATGTGAGCTTAAGGATTTCGGAGGCAGCAGCTTCCGCAGCCTGGAAGGCTTACTGTGAACTACCAAGAGTTTTCTTTGTCTGGTTCTTCACATTGAGTCTTTAAAATAATCTTACTAGACAGCTCAGATGAGGCTCATTTTACAGGTGAGGAAACCAACACAGGGAAAAGTTAAGTGACTTGACCTGATTCGTACAGCTGGAAACCAACAGCCCCAGTATCAACTCTGAAGACTGAGTCTGAGCTCTGAACCCAGAATCCAAACAAAGCAAGGTATAAACTTAAAGTCTGGTGTTCACGCGCCCGTGGCTACCAGCCCACCATGTGATCTTGAGTGTGTTGTTCAACCCCTCTGGGTCTCAGTTTCCCCTGTGGTGAAATGAATTGTGGAGATAGATCCTACTGCACAGGTGCCTGAGAACCAAGTAGAAAACTGGTGTCCCCTGACCCATTAGTTCTACTACCTGACCTGGAAACAGTCTGGAATCCCAGACTCCTGTAGAGTCCCCAAAATGGAGCAAAACAGACTCAGAAGCCTGATGGGCCATGGTGACCTGTACTGTATGAGCCAAGGACATCCTATGTGGCCATCAGTGTCCCCAGTGCAGCGTTTTGCTGTAGGAAAGTGATGG